TAACCGAGAGATTCAAGAAATTCTCAAAATAAGTTATAGTGCACTAGAAGATGCGGTGAAGGAAGTTTTCCTTGATATTGCTTGTTTCTTTAAAGGTGCAGGCAAGGACTTTGTGATTGAAATACTAGAAGGTTGTGACCTCAACCCTAAGTATGATCTTGAAGTACTCGTGGAAAAGGCTCTTATAAATATTACAAAAGAAGGCTACATTTGGATGCATGACTTGATACAAAAAATGGGTAAAGAAGTAGTTCGCCAAGAGTCACCAACTGAGCCCGGAAAACGTAGTAGGTTGTGGTTTCACGAGGATGTTTACCATGTTTTAACAGAAAACACAGTAAGTAGAATATATAATTTAAAACATTTTATTTTTATTTCACAAAAAACTTGTCCTTTGCTAACAGTATTACTTTTTCATACTAGGGAACGGATAAGATCAAAGGTATTATGGTGAAGTTGCCTGCTGGGCTTGAGTCAGATGAGGTATGTTTGAATGCTGAAAGCTTCTCAAAGATGAAAAATCTTCGACTTTTTATAAATCATAATGCGCGCTTGTCTGGAGAAGTTGATTATCTTCCCAATGAGTTGAGGCTCCTTAGCTGGCCTGAATATCCGTCACAATCTTTGCCAGCCAATTTTAATTCAAAGAAACTTGTTGATCTTACTTTGCCTCGCAGCTGCATTTTACGACTGGATTTGCAATTCAAGGTATTTAAAATGACTGGTATTTTCAGGAGTTCATTTTTTTTCTTTCTTCTTAGCATGTTGTAAGTTTCTTTGAAGCTTATGATGCGATCTTCTCTCTTTTTCTCCCTGTTTTGTGAGACAGAGTTTGAAATTTATAAATGTGGAGCACAGCAAATTCCTAAGAAAAACCCCTGACTTCTCTGGAGTCCCAAACTTGGAGAATTTGAATCTGAACTATTGTACAAGTTTAGTTGAGCTTCATCCTTCTGCTGGATTCCTTCAAAAGCTTGTTAAGTTGAGTCTTAAGGGATGCCGTAGTCTTACTCTGTTTCCAAGAATTGTCAACTTGAAATCTCTGCTGGAGTTGAATCTTTACGGTTGCATAAGTCTTGAGAATTTTCCTGAAATTACGGGGAAGATGGAATCTTTGAAAAACCTGGGTCTATCAAATACTTCCATCAAAGAATTGCCTTCATCGTCAATTCGACATTTCACTCGTCTCGAGAAATTGTATTTAGCCCGATGTAAAAACCTTACAATTCTGCCATGCAGCATTTATGAGTTGAAGCACCTAGAGGAAATTTCTGTCAGTAATTGCTCAAAATTTGTTTCATTTCCTAAAATGGCGAAGTCTGAAGATTCAAGGAGTGCAGAATCACTTGTGACTCTTCATGGAGGCAATTTAGCGTTTCCCAAGCTATCTAGATTCTATGTGGGGGGATCCAATCTTTCAGACATTGCCGATTTCCTTCTGACTCTTGATTGCATGACCACATTAACTAGACTTGATCTATCAGGAAGCAATTTCGTTAGTCTTCCCATATGCATTAATAACTTTGTCCACTTGAATGAACTTTGGTTGGTTGGTTGCAAGAGACTTAGAGAAATTCCAGATCTTCCACAAGCATTGCGACTTTTAGATGTGAGTGATTGCTTATCATTGGAAACAGTTTCAAAATTGTCCAACATTTTGGAACGTAAAGAGTCTCAAATGTTCATGGAAATGTACTTGACTAATTGTTGGAGACTGCGTAACAATCTGGTTCGAATTGCAAAGAAGAAAAATATGTTCATAAATCAAGTCAATCTCTTCTCTCTCTTTCTCTCGTCTCTCACATCTTGTGTCGTGGTTGAATTTCCAGGAAGTGGAATTCCAAAGTGGTTCAGTTATCGTAAGGATTTCAAGGATCTTTGCGAATGTCAATTCTCTATTAAAATCCCTCAAAATTTCAATTGGGAGAACAAAGGAATTTCTTTTTGTGCTTTTCTCGAAAAGACCAAAAATCGGTTATATATTGATGTTAAACCCAGCATCAGGGAGTTTGCTATTGATGTATACTTAAATGAAGTATACCCTGTTAATATTCGTCCAACAGGGAAAGCCTCAAGTTTCGTGTCACTGTCATATATCCCTTTCCATCATTTGATGTGGGCAAGAGCACGCTTTTGGGAGACTGAACGCATGAAAAGAACATGGGTGATGCCGCCTTATTTGCCTACAATCCGAGTTCATTTTGTGCGTATTAGCAAAGCTGTGAAAAGCTGCGGAGTCCACCTAGTAATGCCACCAGGATGAAGACCTCAGCATAGAGGCATGGGTATGTCCAGGAAGATACCAGGAAAGGACAGTAGCATTCAAATGTGATTGGGATGATAAGGATTTGCATCCTTCTTACAAGGGATTGTTCACCTAGTGCGCCACTGTTTTTGGCTAGTCGTTCTTCACAGTTCCTGTCTTTTGACCTGCTTTTATGGTTAGTGCTGCCTTGCTGTATTATTAAAGTGTGTTGCTGGCTGTGGACTTTGTTCTTCCTGCAGCTGCATTGTGTTTTTTATAGCAGAACAGATTGCTGTTTTGCTCAGCCTTATTTTCTCCTTGGTGTTGCTGCATTAGTTCTCCTATTGTTGTTGGTTAGGGCTTTGCATGTTGCCTCATGTTGGGGAGAGAAAGACGGAAATTAATGAAGCTGTTGTTCCAGAAGAAATTGAAAGCTCGTCCTTCATTCGATGTAGATACTAGTGGACTTAAAAGAAAGGAGGTGCAGTCATCAACCCCAACAATGCTGTCCAAGTTCAAGAGTTGTTTTCGCAAGTTTAAGAGGGCTTTCACAAATGCAACTACTGCTAATGAGGCAGTAAAGCTCCGGTCTTGGCCCCCTACCACTGTTGTGTAGATACAGCTGCACCAAAATGGATTCAGCTGCATCCTCAACTTGTGATACTCGCAAGTGCACGAGCC